CCTTCAGCTGACTATTTTCCAGGCCATTTCTAGGCCAATTCAATCATACAAAATCTATTCCATACCTTTGATCATGTTAGTCACTTAACTTAGGAGACAAGATCTGCTGATGGTGAGTAGGCAAAGCATAGTTACATGAATAATAGTGTTCATTGTTTAGCTATCTATTCCTAAGAAACAGTAACAGTGTGTGCCTTTCTTACGTGTACCACTTCAACCATAAGACCTGTCCAAAGCTCTGACTGGAAGTAAAGCACTTGAGATGCTTTCAAATGAGCTTTGATCATTCATGTCAGAGAGATATAAGAAGTTTACACTTACCATTGTTCTCTTTCTTCTAATGTACTGCTTCAGGAGCTGAGTCAGCAGCAGCCAAGGTGAATCAGCACTTTTTCTGCTTCAATTCACAGCCTGAACTCCGAATTTACCCTACCATCACTTTTCCTGAGACTCACATAAACTGTGGAGCTCACAGCAGGAGGTGGAAAGTTCTTAAATTGCTCTCACATGTATCACCAAGACAGGCCTGAACATACACAAAAGGATAGTGTTTTTAAACAGTATCTTTGGGGCTGCTTTACCAAGTTAGAATAGGATCATGAAGTATTTTGGGTACCTATCCTTAACACCTTAATGTCTTCCATAGTCTACATCTGCATCTCCACATAGACCTGGATGAAAAGTAAGCAGTCTTTGGTCAGTAGCCCAGTTCTTCATTGCTTGGGAATATCATAAACCTTCACCGTAGAATTTTAGTACTGAGGTCAGATAAACTGGCTTTTCTACCCCTTTACAGCTGCTGCCATATCCTGAACGACAGGCAATAAAAGCTGTTTGGAGGGCAGATGCATAAGCCTTCCACACCAGCAAGAACAACACGGACACCTGCTTATTAGCATGTTGTCAAGTCATGCTCTCAGTTATATGATGGGCTGTTATTTTTCAGCATGGTGCTGTGTTTTTCTTCTGTGATAGGCCTTTAGGGTCATAGTATGTCAAAGACGTTGTCTCACTGGGTGAGTTAAAACTTACAAGGGTAGGTCTCTATACTATTATCAGCCTTTCACAAACTCAAATCTAATGCCATGTCAGCAGATTAGCTGTGGTTCTAAAAGGAGTGATTTCTTAAATTGCAGAGAGAAAATAAAATTTGTGTCATTGCCTCAGCTAAAAGAAAAGAAAACAAAACTGCTTTTTCCTTTTCTGAAGAAGGCCTTATACTTAGCACATGTAATTTTCTTGATCATGAATATCAGCATTGAAAATGAACAGTCATGTCATTGATGAGAACATTTAACGATTTTGTAAGGCTCCATGATCCCTAATATTACACTTCCTTGTGACAAGAAATAAATGTCCCTCATAATTTTTTCCACCTGCTGTCAAACACAAATAAGGAACAAGACTATCAGTAAAGGTTTTTGACAATGATAAATACACATGTATTTGATAAGCTTATACAACATTTTTTTTTTTATAATATTGCACACAAAGATCCTTTGGCTATTCAAAATATATATATATTTGTTTCCTTGTTTTATTACTATAAACTAATACTCTACATAATATATACTAAGAGAAACAGTAGAAATATAAGAATTTCTTTTTGTCTATTTAGACTGAACTACTTTGCAAAACAGAACTTTCACTGTTCTGTGGAATAGAAGTACAAAGCTAAAACACGTCTTTTTAAGCATCAGTCAAACGACGAAAGCAGGAAAACAAAAAAGCCACTGTTGGCACTCTCCGGAGGCATTCTGCTTCTGGGGAAGCAATGAGACTAGAATGCCACTGAGACTACTGAGGTGTGACTCCTATATGTGTCTACAACAGTGTCAATACAAACTACTGACAGCATGAGTGTCAGATTACTATTCAGTATGGAAAATGGCAGTGTCACAGTATTGTTTCAACAGCATAGCTGCAATTTTGAGCTATGTTAGCATCACTTTGGTCTTGTTTCCCGGTCTGTAATTCCACTGTGTGTCATCAAAATTCACTTCTAACCAAATGGAGCTGGCCACACCTGGGCTCAAAGATGTCTTCCTGGCACAAACTGGTCAGGAATGATTTTGCTGACTTTTATAACAAGTAGGAGAAGAGAAACAAAAAGGAATATGGGGGGCAACATATAGCACAGGGAAGGAAAAGACTAAAATTGTCAATGATATAAATTTAGATTCCAGTAATCACACTACCATATTACCTCTTTTTTTCTAAGAAAAATATTTTCTGGACAAAGGCAAGAAAGATTGAATCTACTTTACTGTTTCATTTGATATGCAATAAGTTACTACCTCACATGAAGAAATGGTGGTGTTCAAGATGTCCTAAGTAAGGAAGGTAGATAGGGGTAAGGTGGATCACACTAGAGAGAGAACTGAAGAAGATTCTAATGGTGATCCTGAATGAGCAGTTAAGATCCAGTCTTAGTTCCAGTTAAGTCTTAGATCCAGTTAAGATCCAAACTTAGTTGCTATTTTCATTATAAGCTTGGAAATAAAGTGTATGATAATGAAATCTGCAGATGGTTTGAACAGAGACCTTATTAAAACCGGAACATAGAAACAATTGGATGAGCTCACATACTGGAATGCAGTGAAATTAGAAACTAATAAACAGGCAGCTGCAATGACAGACCTCATCAGCTGGAAATATTAGTCTATCACAGAATAATTAAGTGGCCCTGAGAAAACAAACATGTGATCCTAGGATAAATCACATAAAGTATATCTAGAAGTCCAGTATTAACATCATGGTACATGACAACTGAAACACTACAATTTTGTATGCTACTTAAGAGAGTCACATTCAAACTGGAAAAGGTATTGACAAGAACTGTTACAGTTACTGCGAAAATTAGGAGCCTTCCTTGACCAAAGACTCTAGAATGGTTGAAGTCGACAGTCAGAGATGCTTTCTGGTGCTTTCTCCATGCAGGCAACGTGCCCATTTGCAGCTTCTCCAAGCATTTCTTCCCACCTGTGCACCTGTAATGGCCATGAAGCATTGGACAGAAGACCTCTCCAAATATTTTTTTGATATACAAGCACACAGGTGCTAAATAAACAGATTGACTCACTGGGACTTGCTGCTTTGGGGGAAGTAATGCACCTCAAATTTTTCAGCGTAATTTGGATTCATAGTTCACACCATTAATTGTTTTGATGCCTAGGAAGCATTTAGAAATTCAGGGAACTGTTATTTCTTTCGAACAAGAGCTATTCTTTTTGATTAGGATGTCAAGTGAAATGCAACTTTTACTGTTCCTTCCTTTTCAGGCTTAATATAACCTGGAAAACTCTTTTTTCACAGTGCAGCATTCTGTAACTTCTGTCATAGTAAGTACTGACTGTACAGAAACCATGTCTAGTAAAGCCTGAAACAACTATGAATTCAAAACCATTTCAGAGAAAACTCAGTAAATTCATTGGATACTTTCAGTATGGTACTTACTTGCCTCTGTAATAAAAAGGTGGATATCTGAAGCCCAACGTTCTTTAAGCAGTCCTTTGCTCTGATAACGAGATGTAACAGCTTCTTGTAGCCACTAAACTTCACTGTCTTTATGACTGGAAAATCAGAATATACAGCTCTAACTGTACATTTCAGCATATCCCCCTTTAAAATCTATTTAGAGCTACTATAAAACCTGCTGCTACTTTTCAGTTAAAGGCTCAGACACATCCCATGTTTGTTTGTTAGTTTGTTTTTACTGAAGGTCTTTCAGACTTGCATCCTAGATTAAATATTATGCTTGGACACATGTACAAATTGATGCATTTTTTAATTATGCTGAAATTTCCCTCAGTCTGGATTCTATTTTATTTTATTTTAAAGTTTTATTAGAATCGCTGGCTCTAGGATCTTGATGTTTCTGTCAGCTTTGGTTATGTGGATTGAGTGGGTTTATATCACTGACACACCTAGAAACTATTTACCAAAGAAAATAATGTAGTTTTCACAAGTATGTTGAAGATAGTACCATCATTTTCTTACTAGTTTTCGTATGTCATAGTTTCCAATCCCACACAAATTCAAAGAGACTGTGTGGATGTATCCTATTTTGAAATACTTTTACTCATACATGCTGTAAAGAAATTGATGAGCTTACTAATTTCCTGAACATCCCAGTTTCACGTTTTTAAACTCCATGGAAAGCTCACAGCTATTTACTAATTCTACCCATAATCACTAATTTAGCAATGGCTCTGAATCTAAGGAAGCACTGATGTGCAGTAACTTTGCTTTGCCCCTCTATTGCTTCTTAATTTCTGCTCCATCATTTTTCAGATGAAGATTGCACGTTGAAGGTTTCAGAACAGCACTGGTTTAGTAACACTACAGCAACATCGGTGCTTCTGAGCTGTGTACACCATGTAATGAAGTTGTGCATCACCATTTTATTTTAGAAAAGGTGTGCATCTCCTTTCTCATTGTATATGTCCTTATGCTCACTAGTATCATTATTATTATTGCACTAGGGAAGACATCAGGCTTCCTATATCTTACTTCCCTTTGTCATCACCTTTGCTCCACTCCAGCTTTCTAGCACAGAAACCATTTTCCTTAAGGATGGGCTCACTGTCCTCAGCAGCACAGTTGCCCTCAAGCTATTTTGGACACTTAAACACTGCCTGGTCACTCCTGTTTGCTAATCCCCATGTTGTTGGCTTGCTCAGTGCTTTTTCTCGTCACACACCGGGTTCAGAGGGTGCTGATTTCCTGACACACCTCTCTACCAAAGCAAACTCTTCAGAGAAACACCATGAAGAGAATACACCATGAACCCCACACACTGCTTTGCCATAGCTTCCCCTTTTTCAAAACAGCTTTGAAAAACATTCCGCTAGCTCCCCCATCACTACACTCAGCCCGAGCTGCTGGGACAGAGCCCTTATTTTACTCATGCACGGCCTTATTTTTAAAGTTTCACCCCCAGAGCCTCCCCTCAGCCTCCGCCAGGCGCTGCCCCCCAGCCCCCCGGCCGGCCCCCGGCCGCCATTTCCCGGCCGGGACGCAGGCGCGGCGGGGCGCGGCGCAGGGCGCAGGTCCGGCGGAGCGGCGCGGAGGCGGGTTTGAACGGTGGCGGCTACCGGAGCCTGCGGGGCCGGTGCTGTGCTCGGCCGCCGATGGAGCCCGTCCTGAAAGGTACCGGCTCGGCCGCCCTGAAGGGAGCCCCCGGGGTGGGGAGGGAGTGAAGGGAGGAAGAAAGGAGGCGGTCCGGGGCTTTGGGCTGGCAGCCTCCTCGGAGAGGGCAGGGAGCCCCCGGCCGCAGCCGCCCCTGCCCGAGCCCCGTGGCCTGTCTTTCTGAGTTTTCTTCTTTCTAAGTTTCTGCCTCCCTAGGTTGCCCTCTTGACTTTCATTTTGCTGCCCCCTTTGAGATGTTGTAGCGTGAGTAGCCTTCTCCAAGAACCCAGCTCCTAGTTCAAAACGCCTCCAAACGCTTCCTGATTTTCCTGGCTTCCTGCAGTAGGAAAACTACACAGTGTTTTGTCTCTTGTTGGGTTATATTAGCTCAAATTGGCTAATTACTGTACACCATGCCTTTGATCCTGCTGCAGGTACACGCTGAGGTAGTGTTCCCCTGTGAGGTCCTAGTTTGACCCTCACTGGTAGGCTCCAAACCGTTTTTCTGGCAGAACTGTAACTGTAAATGTTACAAAGTATTTGATGCAAGAAGAAGACATTGTGTTTTTTTTTTTTGTTTTGTTTTGTTTTTTTTTGAAGATGAGTGCAACATTTTTCACAACAGAGCAACCAAGCAAAAAAAGTAACTGACAAAAAGCTGTCCTGGTCCTCTACCAAAATGAACATGGGTAAAAACAGTGAATTGGAGTAGGCTTGACTTAAAGTCCCATAGATATCTGATGTTAGATTACTGATCATCATTTTCTTCCTTCTGGTTTCACTAAGTTTCATAAATCTCTTAGTTTAAAAAATAAATATATATATATATAGCAATTTCAAACATTATTCTCTATAAATTACTACAGTTAGAGCATTGTTGATACATTTAAGAAGAAGACGTGATACTATGTAATAATAAATGATTTAGAAGGGCATCCCTAGTAACTAAAATAGTTAAACAGTGTTTGCTAAGGATGTACTTTTAAAATTTAAATTGATGCTTTCAAATTTATTCATGAGTTCTGAGAACTGTCTGGCCTGCAGTTTGTTTGAAGTTGGTTTTGGTGAACTGGCATTCTTCCAGTTTTCAGGAATTCTCCTGATCCACTATCCCAAAGGGGAAATTGGTATGGCCAATCCAGCTATAGGTCATCCTAAGTCATACTAACGAAGGAATTATTACAAGTTTCATTTGCTTATCCCTCCATGTCATCTGGGATTATGATTTTTTTTTTAAGACTTTCTCAGTGAAGGCTGATTTCATTCCTCAAAAAGATTCTTAATCTGGTTGATAGAGTAAGCCGCTTAAATGCGATATTTCTGACGTTCCATTAAACAGCTGACATGAAACTTTGTTAGCCCCTGTGATAAGTACTTAATTTCAGGGTGATTCAATATCAATAATGTGGAATTTTAAGTCAGTTTTAGGTAAGTTTTAAGTCAGTTGAAAATTGTTAAATGATGTTTCTGCAGAGTTTTATGGAGGTTTGTTGAAAGAATAATTCCATGACTTTTATTTTGTTATGTTTGGTAGCCTATATTACAGCACCTATTTTTAACGTGTTTGATTAACCTGAAGATTGGCAATGGTTTAGTCATATGGGTAACCAGTTGTGTAAAGGTGCTGCTTTGCTTGTCAAAAAGTGAAAAGTTGTGTAAGAACTGTCAAAATTCTTAGTATGTTACATTTCAACTAATTTAAGGGACAGCAATACTCTGAAAAGAAATGTTGCTAACACGTGATGCTCAGTTTATTAAAAGCACAGAATCATAGAATCATTAGGGGTGGAAAAGACCATCACCCTACCACCAATGTCACCTATCTGCTACTGCATTCAGCGTGTATTAAAGAAAATTTTTGTTGGAAAGGTAGTTTAACTAGCTTTACAGTAGTGAACTAAAATGGATTTTTTTTTTTCTCTTCTGATCCAGGTATTTGTGCATTTGTAGAAGTCTGGTCATCTAACAGAACAGAAAATTACTCAAAAGCCTTTGAGAAGCAACTTCTTGACATGGGAGCAAAAGTAAGGACTTTGTTTTTGAAGCAAACAGAATAGGAAAACGCTTACTCAAAAACTAGCTTATTTGTTCTGCTTGTTTATTTCTTTGTAGTAGGAGTTTTTAAAGGGCAGGAAAAAAATTATCACAGATTCAAATAGATGAACATACTGTAAAATTCTTATTAGTAGTGGCAGATGGGAAATGTATTTAAAGCTTCGTTATCTATTTAAAAACCTCTTTGCATATTAATACAGTAGCAAATATATCTCATAAAGTATTATTTATACTATACAGGGGACAAACCAAATCTAGGGGTTGAAAATCTAAGTTATTTACATGTTTTGTTTTCTTTAACTTCAAGGCAGCTGGTCTGTTGTTACAATGTTTTCTAACCTATGTACTGTTACATTTTATTCTTCTACTCACTGTCCTACAAATATGGTTCTCTTCCAGAAAGTGCTAGTAAAAATACATCCAAGATGTGTCAGTGATTTTTCCATATCAAATATACTTGAGCTGTAGGTGCAAAATGTGTTTAACTGCCAGCTGTAAAATTTCAACTAGACACTGAAGTCAAACTAGCATCTTGCCTTCTTGCACATTATTACTGGTTAATGGAGATTTTTACAACCCACATTATGCTCTAAATAACACTTGTGTGAACTCCCAGTGCTTTTTAATTGTGCATATGTAGGTGTCTCTCACTGTCATTTAGGAAGTTTTGCTAACATCTCCAAAGTCTCTCTCACTGTATGAATTTAGCTGAGGTAGCATGCCAGAACAATAGAAGAACTGTTTTTATTGTAAAAGGAAATACAACTCACAATAAGTAACTTGAGTAATAAAAATCTCTTGTTCTTTTGGGCTGTGCTGTGAGATCTACTGAGTTTTGTTCTAATGGCTTCAGGTTTTTCTTGTGGAAAATATGATAAGGCTTCAAAATTCTGCAAGTATTTTAAGTTGATCTTAAAGTAGCTGGGTATGGTGAAAGGTACAGATGAATGGTACAGATACGTCTGTTCAGCAGATCACTTTGAAAAGGGGTGATCCTTCTCCATCATTATTTCTTTCCTGGCCAACGCTTTCTTCCCTTTTTTATGGTTGAGCACATGATAAGAAACTGGCTTGGCTCGCTCTGTCAGGAAAGAAATTTCTCATTTTGTTTTCCACTAGAGTGTTGGTTCAGACATACCAAGTTAAGGTCAACTTATCAACAGAGGACCCCCAGGGTAAGGGATGGGACTGGAGAGGGGACTGCTGCATGCAGCAATACCTTGACTGACTCACTCTTCATAGTGAGAGGGAGGCCTAAGGTAGTGTTGCTCCATAATTTGGAGGCAAAGCCATGTCAAGCATCCTGTCTCCTTAGGATGTGGGCTGTGAGCATGATACTAGCATAAGGGACTACGTGTTTGTATCTACAGTCATAACATATTCTGAAAAAGATTCATTGGTCATGTATACCTAGATATTTGAATCTCTTGCTTTTTGTCTTCAGAGGAGCAATAAATCAGCTTGCCAGCAGAACTATTTGGAAAAGCTAAATAGTCTGCTTAAAGACAAAAGTAGGTCCAACACGTTTGGAGCCAAATGTAGTGACTCAATTGAGAATGCAACAGAAATCTGCACAACTACTTCCATTTGGCTGTGTTGAGGAGATGCTACTGTAAAATACGAATTAATAGCGTGGTGACATCAGTACAATAACAACTTATCAAATAGCTTTATGTTTAGTTCCAATGAAGTGAAATTTTGGTTGTAAAGAATGGATTTCTAGAACGAAGAAGGTTGTCATTTAGTTATCAGTAAAGGTTGGTAACTTTAGCACAGTGAAAATGTCAGTTGTGACCTTAGCTGTACTGACTTAAGCTTTCTGTATTTCTCACTTTTTAAAGTGTTTCCATGTGATTAATTTTCTTAGCAGCATCAACCTCCCTTCCCACAGAACTAAAAGTGATCGCTGTTGTTGAGAATGAGTGTAAACAATGAGGTTAGCTGTAATCTAAGTCCGAGTTCTTCACTAAATTAAAGATATAATTGGCATTTTTTGGATAGTGACAGCTAATTTCTGTACTGGCTGTTACATAAGAAATAGTGTTGGGCTACTTAAATAAAGACGTTGTAAGATTAGTGATACAGCTAGAGTAGGCAAATGAAAGTAGTAATCTAGAAAAAAGAAGTTAGAAAATAAAAGGCTACTCCAGCCCTCTAGGGATGTCTTATGTTGGCTTGGCTAATCAGACTTGGGCTTTGATTGCTTCAGGCTCCTTGCAAAGATGGGAAAGATCAAACAGGTCCCTGATATAATGTTTTTATGCTATTGTTCTATCCAGAAAAACAGGCTATCTATAATTTCATTAATCTTGTCTGATTTTCAGACTCAAAGATCTGCTGTTTACTTCTACAGGTTTCAAAAACTTTCAACAAGCACGTAACTCACGTGGTCTTCAAAGAAGGACATTTGGCTACATGGAAAAAAGCACAGAAGGCTGGTGTAAAAATAGTTTCTGTACTATGGGTGGAGAAGTGAGTACCATTGAGTATAATGAATGTGACCCATTCTAGAGAATAGATTCTGATATTTATTAAAATACTTAAAGTACACTGCCTTTTTTTTTAATGTACTTGAAACAGTGATAAGTCTATGAGTAATTGATTACTTTCCTGTGACACTATTCTTAAAACAAAAATGCCTTTCTTCCACAGAAAGGTACCATGTTATCTATTGAAAAATGAATGTGTTGAAGTAGTTTCATGGTATGTTTTTTAACAATGTAGCGTTCTACTCCTTTGCTCTCAGATAACATACATAGGCAGTGAAGATCAGATATTTATGTTGAACAGAATTCTTCCATTTCCACGTGAAAAAGCACACTTGTACCAGTTCTGTAATTATTCCCCATTGAGAGAGTATCTCATAGCAAGAAAAAAAAATGATCCATATCTGGCTTTTAAGACATTTGGCAGGTTCAGCATGGCACCACTTGAAGATTTTCATCTACCACAAGGAAATAGTTAAAACAAACAGAAAAAATATGAAATGTCATCTTTGAAGCCATCCATGAGAAAATGTTTGTGGTTCATGGCATGTCCTCCGAGTTTTAAGAAGTTTTGTGAGGCCTAACTTAGATTTCAGATAAAGTGGGGGAAAAAAACAACTAGTTTCTAACACTCCTTTTCTTTATTTTTGTAAATTACTGTGATGATGGGCCATGTCCTATATCAGTTAGGTATCACATGCATAGAGAATTAGCAGTCTGCTAAGTGCTGGGGGGGGGAAGCAACACTGAGCTCTGCTGCCAATCAAGTGTAGGCCAGTACAACTGCAAAGCTTTCAATGCAAGTCTGTGAGCCAAAACAGAAATTCATGCAGTTATGCTGAGGCAGAATTTTCCTGTTTATATATATATAAATATCAGATATAGGAGCTATAACTTTACAATCCAGCAAGCCTTAACACTAATGAAGAAATCTTGTAAGTTCTCAAAAATGCACTAGGGATGCAAAATGTTATTTATGTGACTATTTCCTTCTGTGACCTCCAGCTGAGTGCACATAAGGATGATGGTCATTCCAGTGGGATATTTGGTTATATTTTAAATATGCTTCTGAGATAGAGAAGTGTATAAATATGAAATCTGAAACTGTAGTCATGGGAACTATTAACTCTTCAAGGACATGCAGGTGTTATAGTAAAAAAGAATCCCAGGAAAGTCCAGGTGAGTAGCATTTGCAGTAGTAGCAGAATAAGAATAAGAGAAGCTCACAGAGGATAAACCAGGATGTGTCACACAGAAATGTGATCTCTGTTATAGCAGTTCCAACCATAAGAGTCTCCTCAACAGTACTGGAAGATGTTGGGTGGGTGAAACCTTTAGAAATGTTTCCATAGTGTTACCTAAGTGGTTATTAAAAAATAAATGAAATAGAGCATGAAATTTTGTGTAGTGGGATGACGTTATGTTACCATAGACTTGTAGAATGGCTTGGGTTGGCAGAGGCCTCTAGATGATCCTTTTGGATCATCTAGTTCCAACTCCGCTGCCATTGGCCAACCATGTGGTTGAAATCCTCCACCAGAATAAGAGCCTGCAAGCGTGATGCTTCTTGTAGCTGAAGCAAGAAGGCCATGGTTATGTTCAGAATATTGCCTGAAATAGCAGCAAGCATGGCAAAGTATAAAATAGTTTTATCACAAAATGTAATTGAAGAGACAAGAATTCTTCAGCCTCAGAAGAAGTGAGAGTGGAGGGGGGAGAGACTCCTGTGAAAACAAAGGTTCATAAAGAGAGACTGAGTAGGAGGGAATTAATGTATATTATCCATTCCCCAGTGGAAGAATTGGAGAGTATCACATGAATCTGGCTGGAGGTAGATGCAGAGAAAGTAGTAAATGATTTTTAGCAAAGCATAGTTAGGCTGCAACTCCTTGTTGGAGAATCAGTATAGACTGCAAAGATTTACATAGGTTTTACAAAACACTGAAGCAATTAAACACTTAATACTATGTTTGTTTTTTAATAAAATTGTCTTAGGCCATCCCTAAACCATAAATCTGTTGAACATAACAAAGTAAACTGAGAGTGTTTTGCTGTGTTTTCATGTTCTTACATGTTCCTGGGCATCTTGATATTGGAAACAGGATGCTGGAGTATATTCTATTTAATCTGGAGCCTACGCTTTGATGTTTGAGCTCTGAAAACACCAGACAAGGAAGCAACTCATAAACAATCACTCCAGCATTTCCTTACTCTTCTGATTTATGCCAAATATTTTCCCACTTAACAGCTAGTGGGTCCCTACTTCCAAAAAGTTCTGCATGTACACTAGTGTTATGTTCTCCTGAGCAGTACTTGAACCTTTCATAGGAACATGCCCATTGATTTGAAAAACTATAGTGTCTGCTTTTCTCCATGGGGAAAAAAAATAATAATAATATATATATGCATATATGTGCATATATGTATATATTAGACTGTAAGGGTCTGTGTGAATGTTACCTCAATTTATTTTGAGTGCTATTTCCAGTGATTTACCTGAGGTTTTATTGGAAGCTTCTGCTTTGTAGTATGAGCATCTGTTTGCATCTAAACACAATGAAGTTCCATAATTTAACAGGAAGTAATTTTATATAGAAGAAAATTTTAAAAATGACAGTTGAAATTTAAAAATATTTTTAAATAAACCTGTTTCCTTTTTTTTTTTTTTAATTTTTCTAAGAATGATTGTTATATCTAACTTTAAAAATAGCACATAAAATTGTGGACTTGCTATAAGATTCATTTAAATATATTATAAGTTTAATGCAAAATGAGTGATGCTTTTGGGATCACTGAGCTGTTTTTTTAGTGCTGCTTCAACTCAAAGGTCTTAATGAGCAGTCTTAATACAAACAAACAATAAATCCTTAGGTAAAATGGAATTACTAAAATCTGTGTCCAAAGTAAGAACACTTAGTCCAAATCTAAACATGATTGTGAAACTCTATTTGTCTGTTCTCAGTAAGACTACTCTGATTTGTCTGCAAAGCTTAAAAAAATACTATAAGATCTTTAATGCTCAACCCTTTTTCTGTTTAGTTTCTCTGAATTAACTACATTAATTATCTGATTTAATTTAAATTTTAATGTATTCTACATCTGTGCTGATCATTATCTAGAATTTAATAATAGCCACTGAAGTCAAACAGGTTGATGTCTAACTGATACTCCAGAGAACTCTAAATTCAGATAGTTTGACAAATATGTGTAGTGGTTTGGCTCTCTTTTTTTCTTCTCAAAACGGTAAAGCATTAGATTGCAATTCGATGAATACAAACTTTAAAGCAGTGTGACACTAGGTGTCGCTAGCATCACAGTTTTGAGTGACTGCTGGAGGAATTCTAGTAGTTCACTAAGTCTTCTGCAGTCTTTCATGTCATGTAACTAGTTGTATTAGTTAGTGAAAACACTATTCAAGAATGAAATGTTACAAATGTTGACTAAAATAACTTCAATTAATGTATCGATAACCAAGTTCTTGCCTCAACATCATCCATGGTGTACGCGTATATGACATTCCAAGATAACATGTGTCCTACCAATCTAAAGTCAGTCTTTGAATAAGAAAAGATAGGGGCAATCTAGGGGTAAGTTGTCGGTTTGTTTTTTTTTAATTATTAAACGAATATAGATCCTTCCACAATAGGGGTCTGTTTTAAACATTGCCTACAGAAAGAGAAGGCAGAAAACCAAAACTAATGGGTAAGAAGTAAAAGCCAGGTCCAGATGAAGCCTACCTTCTCACTTGCCACAAGAGGAGCTTTGGATTTTATTTTTCTTGTTTTTCATAACATCCTGTAGATTAGTGTCTTACTAGCTAATAAAAGATGAAAACCTACAGTCTGCACAAAAGTCAGTGCCAGATTTCAGGTTCATATGAATCTGGCCGTAAGGACTTAATACAGTAATTTTTGAATGTGTGTGGGAATAACATATGAGCTGAAATCTTTGACTTTCAGAACATTGAAACAGCAGTTTAGAGGATATCATGAGGACAATGTTATCATGTCTTCTGTTTGCTTTAATGTAAAGTTGTTGTTTTTGTTTGGTTTTGTTTTTTGTTTTTTAGCATTGCAGAAGTTATGCCAAAGATATGCAATTGGGAAGGGTCTAATTATTACAGGGCTGATTTTATTTTATATTATTTTTTTTGCAACAAAGATTCTCATTCTTAAAAATTAAAGATTGCATCTCATTTATTTTACAGATGTCGAGAAACTGGAATACATGTTGATGAATCTTTATTTCCTGCAGTATACAATAATGAAGGATTACTGCTAAAAGTGAGTTAAGTTTAAATTTCCTGACCTTAGGCATAGAAACTGTTTATTTTCAGAACTTTCTGTAAACTCTGTCCATCTCAATAGTTTTTTAAAGATAGACTATGGCTGTGATATTTAACACCTTAAGAACAGATAATAAAAAATGAACTTTTGTATTGGTGAATAAAAAATTAAGATTTAAATTAAGATTACATAATGATTGACTAATCAAAACCAAATGACTGCAGTGTGCTTTGTGTTTCATTGAGCTGTGATTAATGCAGAAATCCTGATTTTGAAAAAAAAATAAAATAAAAAAGATCTGAGCTTTAGCTTTTCTGTAAGCAAAAAAATAAATAAATTAATGGCTTAGATGGCATTTAATCTAAAGTATCTGTTTAACCTTTCTGTCTTCATATTACAGTTCATTTTGGAAAATGTTAACTTCTGCAATTGTCCGTGATTCTTAGAGAGGTGATTATAAATAGCATAGTGCTAAACATTGATAATTAATACTGTGATAAAAGTATGCAAGTAGGAAGTCTAGCTACTTTTGGCCAATTCTTACCACATACTTAAGCTTTTTATGTATCCTCTAGCACAAATGTATGCAGCCAAAAGACTTTGTGGAAAAATCTCCAGAAAATGATAAAAAGCTGCAGAGAAGACTGGACAAGATGGCTAAAGAATTAGCTAAGCAAAAGATAGGAATTAATGCAGGTAAGTATTCCTTTGGACTAATCTTCAGATATTTTGAAGTTATTTCTTTAAAGCACTTAAAGGTAGTTTTTAAATTTTATTTTTACACTTGTATGTATCTCACCATAAAAAGTAAAGTCATTTTACTTTTTACAAAACCGTTTGCAAGTTTGCGGTATTAAGGTACCTGTAGTGGTTAGGTATGAGGGACTTTATTTATTTATTTCTTTATTTAAGAAAATAGAACTCATTCTGAAGCTGGTATAACATGCAAATATTAATGTACAAATGCAATTTCTTTGTGTAGAAACTGATACACCAGTTTTATTATTTGACGAAGATGGTTCACTTGTGTATAGCCCTGTTAATAAAATAAGAAATCAAAGCAGTGGAATGGAAAGAAGAATAAAGGAGATGAAGGAAAAAAGAGAAAATCTTTCTCCTACTGGTAAGAAGTTAAATTTTATTTATTCATGAACATGTACAAATAGCTGCCATCTTTATTGCTATATTTCTTCCACTCTTTTCTTGCTCTGTCCCTTGGAATTATTTTCATACCTTACTTTTCTTGAAACATTTCCTTACCTAGACTCAAAATGAAAATGTTTGATTAGAAATATACAAATATTTAAATTAAACATAACTTGTGATTCAAAATACTTTATGGGGATGTGATCTGACCATTGGAATCAGACAGCATTAGTCATCATGTGGATAGCATTTCTCAAAACATCAGTCCACAACTCACTTGAAATGAAGACTTGACGTTTTGAGCTTTGAATTCCACTGACCTGGGTAACATTAAGGGATGCTGATCTAAATGATGCACGCAGAAAGGGTGGTGCTTGTTTCTTCCTGCAGTCTGGTATCAGGACTGTGGCTATGTCTGTATTTGGCACCCGTTGCTTTGTTATGATTTGACCAGAGTTACTTTTAAGCGTAATGACTGGACCCAAAAGCTGAGTACAAATTTTCTTCTATGTCATTTGGATTTGAACTGAACCTAGAATCTGTGAGCTCTCAAAGCTCATCTCTTGTGTAGATTGTGTCTCTGACAACAATATCTGAAGGGAGACTGGATGTACTCCCTTCTTCCCATGTTTTGAGTTCGTAAGTATGCTTTCTGTTTTTTTAGTTTCCATATTGGACAGGATATAAGTAGTCATGGAAGACAATTTTTGCAAAAAGGAATTTCTTAATCATAGAATGAATTGGGTTGGCAGGGACCTTAAAGATCATCTAGTTCCTCACCTCACAGAGATAAGGTTCACCAGTCCGTAGTTTGCTGGGGAACACAACACTTCTTGGGAATACTAATAATTAAAATAGAGTTTCTAAGTTTGTGAATTGATATTATACCTTAGTTGAACTTTACAACAAGATTCTAAATCTTATTTCCTGTTAAATTCTAATATTAATACTATAATTGACAAAGATTGTAACATTACTACTTCCGGGCAACAGTTTAAAAAGGAGTTCAAAATTGATAAGGTTCTGAAGAATGACATTAAAAAAAAGCCTAACTGAATAAAATGAGTTGACTTCAAAATACAGATCCTAGTGAATTAAATCTAGACTTGAGTTTTCAAGTTATTGTTAGAGCTTACCTTACTGTGCAAGTACTAATGAGGCCTAATTCATTAAATTTTTGTTAATTAGTATAAAAACTGTTGAAATGTGGAACACCTTTTGTGGGGGAAAGTCTATAGTGACTGACATTTTAAGAAGCCTATGTCAACTGAACTGTCACTTTATCCCTCTAAACATAATTGTGGAAGGAAAGTATAGAACCAGTGACACATCAATTAAAAAATTAGATTTAATTTATTTTAGTATATTTTGTATCTGTTTTCTCTTGAAGTTTTAAGGTAAAACTTCCAAAGGTTTTGAAAAGCATTTCTGCTATAACAAGGCATTGCTACTAATTGCAAAATTTATCAGATTGTTTAGTTAAAACATCTCAACTGGCTTAGAAATGTCCATAATATTTCATGAAAGGTTTGCCATCGTTCTTTTGGTTTCTGAGTACTGAGTTTCTAGAAGAAATTTGATTTAGTTTGTAAAATCTAATAGCTTTTTTGTTAGTATGTAAATTCGAGTCTAAGGATCGTTAAGCATTCTTTAGAATTAATTACATGGTTATAATTAGTTGTCAAAGCAACCACTTATCTCTTAAAATTGAGCTGTTTTGAAATATGAATAGATGCTGTGGAAATATGTACGTTTGCACATAGGGCTAACTAATTTATTATTTATAAACTCCTAGCTTCACAAATGTCTCAAACACCTCCACGTAGTTCACGAGGAGACTGCCCGCTGTCTACCTGTTTAACAAATGCAGAAGATGCATCGTTACAAGGTAATTATCACAACCTTACTTAAATATTACTAAATTTAAACATTTAGTACATGGGCTGTATATCTTATTTTGCATGGTGATAGATTTGTACACTGGAAAAGGAACTTTGTATGTTTCCTCTACCATTTATATTTAAAGTTGAATTATTTTAGTTTTGTTTATTGGTGAAATATATAGAAGTAAGAATACAAGGAACTGGAGCATGAGAAGTCACATCGGGTAAATTCTCTGCCCTACTACTGTAATGCTGTTGTCATTTCCTCTTCTTTGCACCGTTCCCCCTTAACGTCTTGTTCTGGCATGCTATCAGTTTACTGATACCATGATTTTGTATAGAACACAGAGTACACATTAAACAGTGTGATGTGGAAATAAAAAAAGAAGTGAATGAGAGAGAACTCAGAACTGAAGTGTCCTCCAAATTTTCAATGGAAAAGCTTGAATTCAAGAGAAAACCTAATGCATTCTCCAGCTTGATTATTCAGGGAGTGAAGACAACAGAAGAAATAAAAAGAGTAAATATAAATCAGCTTTTAAAATGTTTCATGGTTGCATTTGAATTCAAGTGGTTAATTAAGGTTCTTATGCTCAGAATGCTAGGCTTTAGTTCCTGTGTTTTTGCATCACAGGACATAAGGAAGAGTTTATTTTGTGAAGGCTGTTGCGCTATGTCAGTATTAATATCACAGCATTAATGAATAATGTATGCCATGAGTAATGTACATTAGACTCATGTCTCCTGTCAGTCATGTGAGCAGAAAGCTAAGTTGGATTTCAGTAGAAAAGTAATGAGAAGAAAGCTTCAGCTTATGAGAAGAATTCATAATGAGGACCACTTGAGTGCACTGCCTACTCCATTCTACTCCGACAGTAAACTATATCTCACACTTTAAAAAAAAAAAAAAAAAAAAAAAAAAAGTATACTGACATCATACAGAAAATCTATCATTATTGATGTATACATTATGATACCATGATGTATTTCATTTCATCTTAACTCTGGGAAAACTACAAGGTGCTGGGTAATGCTGTGGTAGTAAGAATGACAAAGGTAGTTGAAAACTAAATAATCAATATAAAATCATGCTGCTTTTCTTCACGTATTAGCATAGAGAAAAAAGCTTCTCTGCTTTGTTTCAAGAAAGCAGAACAGGATTTGGGGATGCTTGTTACCACTTAAGAAGACATGGTAGTTAAAACTAGCATAGCTTCTCATCAGCATAGAATGTGCTTTGTTTCTAAATTGATTTTCTGTTAATATTAGGTGGTGAATCAGTTAAAAAAAAATTCAGATAAGTGGCTAAATCCTTGTTGACTTCTTACAGGAATTTCATATGTATTCTATTGAGAAATTTTGTACTGTTTCTGTTTTGTTAAATGTTTATATTGCTGCTTTTCATATTTTGCAGAAGAACAAATGGAAGTCTGCTTAAACTCAAGTGTTGATGATCTCTGGGGAACTTATAAACCAAAGAGACAGAAAAAAGAAATAGCAGAACCCACCTGTGATACTCAGACTCATATTCATGTTTCCAGGAGTGCATCAGTGAATTCTCCCTCATGTAGCTATGACCAGAAGAGCTTAACCCCAAAACAACCGAACAGAAGCCTAAGTAAAAAAAAGATCTTGCAGCATACTTTCCAAGACAATTTAGAAAAACATCTAGAAAAGTTTCCAGAGAAAAATCAGAAGGATGAAAATACCATGACTACTTCAGTTGCAAACAAATATTCTCCTCTCCAAATCAAGGACTTGGGTTATTTTACTCCTTCCCGAAAAACAGCCAAGTTAAATACTGTTCCTGCTTTGATTCACAGTCTCTCTAATTCACCTGTGAGCAGCAGAGACTTAAATACATGTTCACGTGATAGAAGTTTCCCTGTTGACAGAAGTGATTGTCTTCTGGAACACAAGAAGGGGAAGAAAGTACAAACACTGTTTAGCTTGAAACTGTCTTCTTCTGAACTGCGTGCATCAGGGTCTAGAAATGAGTTCTTGAAAGGAGTTAATAGTTACAGCAACGATCAGTGCACTGAAGATGCTTCTTATGATGACTTCTTTTCCTCATATAATTTGAATAAAAATGAAGTACAGGTAGAAGTCCCACAAGAATCACAGAATCCTTCTGGTGTTTCTTGCAAAGAGTCTTTAAGAATCATGGGCTCAATTGATATGAGTTCCTGTAAACCACATACTGCTGAGAAAAGCAGAAGAAAGTCTATTCAAGCAAACGATGTTTCGGTAAAGAAAACATTCAAAACAGCTGAACATACAGAAAGTGTGCCATTAAATTGCATGTCTGATGGTGAAAAAGCTGAGATTGCAGAAGCTCTAGATTCAGATCTTGTGAATAAACGGCCTCACCATGCTCATGAAAAATCCTACAGAACTGATATGAATTACTGTACTCGTGCTACTGGTAAGTCTGTACATAGAGCTGGAAAATGAAAAGATACCATACTTCAGTAGAAATTCTTATACAACTAAGTTGCATTCACAAGGGAAAAAACACTGTAATTCTGGTGTTCAGAATTACACCAAAATAAAAAAAAAATGCTGCAGTACTGACTTTTCACTTAATAAATAAATGAGTACATAGGAGCCAGAGGAACACACATATGTATTCCCATATGTTACAAACATAAAGAAGTCACCAAGAGATAAGGAAACTGTGCTCAAAATGCAACAAAAGTACGTGGGCTGTCTTTTTTTCTTAATGCTTGGTATTCTGTAAACTATGCTGCTATTGAAGACCTGAAGAAAATGAGGCCTTCATGTTCACAATGTTATGGTACTCATGTAAACTTTTTAATAGTAACTACTAGTCATAGCATAGCCAAAATTATTCTTATTTGACAAGTTAAAATTGCTATTTCAAATTGCAGGTAAAACACCAAATTCTATAATGGAAAAAAATTATTTCAGTTAGCAATTTCTAATTTTTGCTGTAACGAAGATAGGAGACATTTGAGGGCACAGAGGCACAGACTATCCTGAGTTGGAAGGGACCCATCAAGGTTGTTGAGTCCAACTTCACATAGGGAACAAAAAGAGGTGCAAAGTAAGCATCTCTTTCACTTAAGGTTTGTTTATATGGAACTCATCTTAGTTTTTAATAATTTAAGAATACTTTTTTTATATCTGAGCATTCTCAAGTTAGTTTAGCATAAGTGTAAATATAGTGTAAATATCAGTGTAAATATGCACTAGAATATTGAATTTCAGAAACTCGGGAAAATTCTGAAACTACATTAATAAATTATATAAAATTTATTATTTAAAGCACTGAACGAAGTCTTGATTTCAGACTTATGAAATCATCCAGTGGAAATGTTGAAAGGTGACTGTGTATATACCTGTGAGAATTAAGTTAACTGTGAGCTACTATTTTCGCTTACAAAATACATCTATGCTTTAACACGTTAAAAAAAAAATTATGTGGGTGTATGTCATGCAAGTATAAGTGTACAACCATAAACGTATGAACCCACTGTGCGTGTTTTATGCCATGTAGCAATGTACTTGTATAGACGATCCTTGATTGTTGCATTTCTTGATGTCAAAGAACAGTTTGCATTTTCATTAAACAATCAGAAAAAGTTTGGGGGGGATGGAAGGGGAGGAGGAGAAAAAAAAGTGATCAAATTGTCATCAGTGTTCTAATATGTTATACTTTTATTTCTGGGCAACTTGTTTAAGCTCCCAGGAGGAGAGGCTAAACAGTATTCATCAAACAAGTGTTACCAGATGTTTATACTTTTTACCCTTCTTGGTTAGTTAGGAACTTCTGTAAGCTTCACTTAGACGTTGTAATGACTGTTGTGATTTTAATGATCTGTGATTTATCAGTGATGACCATTTTTCTAAGTATATGTTTTTTTTTAAGCTTTGTGCATCTGTTGTGTAGTCAAGTAGAACCTCAAGTCTGACGGCTCAGATGAGCTCACTTGAAAATGGAAGGGAACAGTAATGAAAAATGAGTCGTGTTTTCCCTATTAATTCGAGTTCTGTGAAAGAAAAATTAAAATATTTTTTTAAACTTTCTTACTGTAACATTGTAATATGGAATCATGCATTTTTATTAAATACAGGTTTAATGTTTTCTGATTTTTGTTTTGCTCAAGTAAGTTATTTGTTGTCCATGTTAAATAGTAAATAAATAGTAATTTGCCCTGTTCTCTGTATGTTCTACATAATTTGAAAACTGGGAAATGGTGTACTATTTTTAAAAGCTAAATAATTATTTTAAATATATAGTTTAGAGGTTATCTGTATATATTTAAATATCTAACATCGTTCTTCCCTAGTTTTACACCGCATTTGTAAGTTAGTGGCACTCTTATACAGTGTTTTTAATGACAAGAAGTAAGATTTGATAGGTATTCTCTGTATTGACTACTTGGAACCCTTGATTTTCAAGTAAAAATGTAATACATAGGCTAACCGAAGGCTAACCTGGCAAATGGTAATGCTTATATTGTAGCAAACTTCAAGTTCATTTGTAGAGTACATTCAAGGCTGTCTGTCCATTTGTTCTGCTGAACAGCATTGGCATAACTGCTTATTTTCATCTTACTCCAAGTTATAAATCATGTAGAGAACTGTCACAGATAAAAGGTGTGAAATTAATTAAGAGTTATAAGAATATTAAAAGACCCCTATTCCAAATCACTTTTTCTTTCTCAAGTTTGTTTCTAGAGATTAAATAATATATATATATATATATATATATATATATATATAGTTCTAATTTACAGCAGCCATAAATGACAAAATTCAGTGTTCTGTAATCAGCAAATTCAGGGGTTTGCATGTTAGTACCTAGATGTCTCAGAGTTACAAGATAAGCAAAATGCTAGCTTTACTCTATCATAAATATAAGTTTATGGGCACACAATAATGCTCTTTTGGGAAAATTAACGATCTACGTTGCTAGGAGAGTCTAAGATCTTCCTTGTCATTCATATTGTAAATCGGTTTACTTTGTAATCCATTCCATCCACTTACTTTTAGTAGGGCTGATGCTGACATTTGAACTATACAGTTTAGAAGAGTAATACTTAGATTTGATGACTTAACAGGAACTCAAAGCTACCACAAATAATAATGGGCAAGGAGTGCAAGATTATGCTTTTTTTTTTTGTGGTCATCCCACAATCAGAGGATGAACTGGGACTTAGATTTTTTTCTAGTCTCAACAAAAAAAAATAAAAAAAATAAGGCTTAGCTGAGTGAATTTTAGATATTGATGGTTAATGTGGAAAGCAATCTTAGTTGGCCAAAAGACATAAACTAACATCAATTATAGTGTAATGGATGTAGCTCAAGGTAAAGATGGGGAATCAGGAATATCATTCCATTATTTGGTGCCAAAATGAACAAATTTAATTTAGATGAATGAGTTTTTACATGAAGTTCTAGGTCCAGAATGCCAAGTTTGTGCTTTATACAGCTAAAATACCGTCTATGTCTTTAAAAGCACACATTTGAAAACTTGCTTAGATATCTCTCTATCATCTTTTTTTCAGTTTTGGAAAATGACAAACTCTTTAAAAGTAGGAACTAACTTGTAACTAATTATTTATACTAAAAGGGCAAATATTTCAAAATAGAGGATTATGTTAATGTCAAATTTACAAAGTCTGATGACATGTAACAAACTAGATAAATTGTTTCAGAACAGTTCTCTCTAAGAACATAGTGGGCACGTAAGCTTTTAGAAAACTTAAAGAAATTGCATTCTCAATAACCAAAACTTGACATTTGCCCATCCTGAAAAAAATAGAGTGACTAACTCTGGATAAGTACAGAATAGATGTGATGTAGCTTGGTTGCAGTGACACTTGAATATATTCTCAAAGTAGAATGCCATAGAAAAAAATTATGTTAAAAAGTCATGATTTGACTGAATGAAAACTAGCTCATGGTAGCTAATCATTACTTTGATTTTTAACTCAAAGAAAATGGAAATTTTAAGGATAAGATTCTGGTTTAAAACTTCTCACTGGTGATAAATAATCATGAATGATGAGAAGCTTAAATTGCAATTCAGAGTCAGTCTAATATGTTATAATGCTTCAGAGGGCTCTCAAGGTTGATTTTGATACCACTCACTGAACAATGATTTTAGATGAGGATTTGGGGGACCTAATCACAGCGTCATGAGTTTGCCAAGTATTTGGACTACATTTAGGGATAACAGTGGATAGAATTGCTTCAAAAACTTGTCTCAGCTTCATCAGAAATACCCTAGGAAAAGCTACTAAAGATGAAAACTTATGACTGAGCATCTGCTTTTTTAGATAAAAGGAATCAGCAGAAAAATGGGCAATAGACAGTGAAGATTTAGACCTAGAGGATGGAAAAATCTGGGGGAGTCCTGGTAGTCAGGAGAGAGGAAGTAGGAATTGGATTGCAAAGATTAGTCCTTACTTATGTAAGGTCCCTGAGCTGGTGTCTAGAAGAGGGGATGGACATTGTCACCTGTTCCTGCTGTCCTGTAAACTCAGAGAAACAGTGAGAGTCGACCCTAACGGGGAAGAGATCCAAGCATCCAGGTCTTTGGGCTTTAATCCCAAGTGGGGCAAGAGTTGAAGCGATCAAGTGATCAAGCATTTGGGTCAAGAGAGTTGGGAGTATTTCATCACTTCACATTTTTCCCTTCCCACCCCCCCACCCCCCTCCCAAAAAAAAAAACAACGCACACTTCCTTTTCACTGAGAGGGTTGTCACACACTGGAACAGGCTCCCCAGGGAAGTAGTCACTGCACCAAGTCTGTTGGAGTTTAGGAAGCGTTCGGACTGTGCACTTAGTCACATGGTCTAAACTTTTGGGCAGACCTGTGTGGTGACAGGAGTTGGACTTGATGATCTTTATGGGTCCCTTCCAACTCGGGATATTCTATGATTCTATGTGTTGCCTTAATGCAATGCCAAACAAAACTAAATTAGTTAAGTGGTTCATTCTCCCTTTGCTAAATGCAACTTTGTAAATACTGGGTTTAATGTAATAATTGTACCTGAAAGCCACATTTTCTTCTATTACACAAATGTTACTGTGGTGCTGTGTAAACTGCCATGAAACTTGCAACTTTCATGTGAAAAAGTGATGAAATTTTGACTTAGTTTAAAGGCTAGCATTTTAAAAAGTAAATCAGCAGTATCAGAAAATATTTATAATTTGCTGTGTAGTCATTTTTTTGTATTCTGTTGCATCAAAAATTAAGAATTTAAGTAGCTGACAGAGGGAAAATGTGATCGTGAGTTGTACATGCTGTTAGACTTGTAAATATGGATAGTACTTTTCATTATTTCCCAAAAGTTGTCAGAAGTTTATTTGGGATGAGCTGAATTTAGGCCACTTCAATCACTATTTATTAAACTTTCTTTAACTGGTCTAATCATTTCTTTGAAATGAAAAAATTAATGAACGTCCTAAAATAGACTCGATTGAATTAAATTTGGGAAAAAGATCTTCTTAAATCTTCAGTAGTTAAAACTCCATTGATCAAAAGATGGAAGAAAGTTTTTTCATCTTATGCCAGCAAGTTAATTTCTCAAATGAATCCAGAAGTTTATTATTTAGTATTTATAAAAGTAATCCTGACAGTGTTGAAGAATTAAATATGTTAATTCACAAAATAAGTGATGAAAAAATACTGCTTTTTGGTAGGCACAGTACAGCACCTTCTTATGAATGGTGCCTTTTTCTAAATAACTGATATGCCTACTACATGTGCAAGCAATCCTTACCTGCTAACAGCTTGCTAGATTCACTTACAAACTGTTTGAAAACGTGTTTCAGACCTTCAGGTTATTTCACATAAACACAGTGTGTCCTGAAAGCACTCATATTTCAATAGGAATTGAAAAATGTAGCAACCAGTGCTTCAAACTCCGAAATATTTCTTTGTGTATTCATACACAAATTGCAAATTTTGAAGTAAAAAACTATATAGCTGATTATCCATTTGAGGTTAATATATAGTATTCAAAATATTGGAAATCTGGAGTTTTACAATTAGTTTATTCACAAGATGAGAAACTGAAAGATGAAGTCAAATGTTTTAGTGTCGTTCTTCCACAACTGAAACAAAATGGAAAAATAACTGGTGCAAACTACTGACCTAGCTGTTTTAATGGTACTTAGCTCTATCTATGTACTAGGATAAAATAAGGGGTGACAGTTTCATTTCGAGTTTCTAAATTTGTACTACTCTTGGTTTCTAGGTGATGAAAACGAAGTTTCAGAGTGTGATGTTACTGATGGCTCTTGCAAAGTTTTTAATGAACGAAAGAATAAGCACAATGGGGGGGTGAAAAAAACTAGAAGACTCCAAAAGGTCAGTTTAACTGGTCATATTGTTTGTTAAACTCGTTCTTGAACAATCCGAATGTGATTTTGTAATTTTTATGATGTTTAACTAACCAATTGGCTGTTGCAATGTAAAAAAAAAAAATAAAAATAATCCTATTTTCTTTTCCTCCAGCAATTGTCTGTTAGTATGTTTGTGAATATATTTATTTAAGATATATACACGTATATACACGTGCAAACTTCGTAAAGGCAGTGTTGGAGATCCCTAGGAAATGTAAATAGTGTATTGTTTTGGATTAAATTAGACTAAGTATCTAAATTTTTGTAAAGAATTAAGTTGCAAAGCTTCTCTGGTACCAATTGCAATGCTTTCATGAAGCTTTAAAAAAAAAAAAAAAAAAAAAAACCTGAACATTATATTTTTTAATGAATATAAACACTTTTTTAATTTAGAAAAATATTTAATATTGTTAGAAAATATTTAATATTAAGTTAGAAAATATTAGTTTGTTTCCTTCACCTGAAGCAAAAAGTATGAGAGGAATAGCACAAATATGGATATATGTATATTTAATGGGATTTTATTGAATCATAGTATTATGAAGGATTTTCTGATGTTTATATAACTCTTAAAGTTTATCCTAAAATACAAGTACAAAAAAAAAAAAAAAAGTAATTTCATAGCTATTTTAATTGAATGATAGTAATGATAGTTGAATTGAATTAAGTGTGTATCTCTGGACCTTTTCTGTCTTAAACAAGCAAACAAAAAACACTTAATATTTTACAATATATTAATTAATTAATATATTAATTCCAGAGTATATGCATTCTTACTAAGTTGTTCCAATATAAGGCTTGAGGTCATGCTGCTGGTGTCCTGGGATTCCATTGTGAAGAGTAGTCTGTTAAATTTGTTACTAAGCTATAAGTCTCTTAATTTGCAAAGCGATGTAAATTGCAGTTATTATTTCTTCTAGAAACAGAGTTTGCAATCTTTGCAAGCTCTTTAAGAGCTCTCTGGGTGAGTGTAACTTGTAGACAGTGTCCAGCCTGAGACTTTGCAGTGCTATGCTACAGTTAGCACTACAATTGTAATTCATTCCTTACAGTGAATACATTTCAGTAGGCATTTGGAGTTTCCTGTGTGATAGTAAATAAAAAAAAAAAAAAATCTTTTGGAAATAGGCAAGGCATAAATGTTGCATTGTTTAGTTTCATGCTTATTTCACTTTGTCATTTGTAGTTTCTTTAATCTATTATAAATCAAAAGCTGTAGGTTCTGTATATTTGTCTGCCATGCTATTGTGTTATGCATTTGTTTTCCTTGAGAGGAAAACAGGTTGTTTCTTTTGTATTTTAGCTGAAGTCAAAATTTATAATGATTTAAGTACTTTTATGTCACAGTTTTAGATTGCAATTCTCATATTTCCTTTTGTATCTATACTATTTATATAGATGTGTTTATTGTACTCTTAACTTGGAAGACTTCTAATCATAGTTATTTAAAGGTGTATTATAAACTAACAAAAGCATGAAGACAAAGCAGTTTATAATGGCAACTGCAGGCATGTTGGGGGAAGATAGGTAAGACTTTCAGGAATCTTTAATGGCATCAGGAACAAGCTTTTCCGTTTTAAAAATATATATATATCAGGCTATAAGTAGTTCCTATAAAACTTCCTAGTTTAGAGATACAGCAGCCCATACCGGAGGACAGTTCCAGATCTCTCATGTTGAGTTGTTGTGGATATGCCTATGAATGTCAGCAGGTGGCTTCCCTGGTCTAGAAATCTAAATTAATGATTCTGGATTGCAGTGATAGAATAAAACGTTCACATGTTGTGGTGCACTTTTCAATAATTCCATGTAATTAAATATGTGGCTCTTTGGTGCATTGCATATAGAGGAAAAAGTGAAATACTTGTAAAGCCAAAAATATTCCAATATTTGTTACACCGGTGTTAATCTGTTGGTATGAGGGTTAAGTATTCATTTCACTGCTTAGCGTCACAAGATGTTTACATTTGTCACAACATTTGTCACATATGTCACAAATGTAAACACTTTGCAATTTAAACATATGGGAGAAAGCAATTTGTTATGCATATCAAATTAACTGCTCTTTTTTTTTCAAATAAAAAGTTGTTTCATTTTTTTTAGAGGGATATGAGATAGTTATAGTTATATTTGAAAGGACCTAAAAGTGTCACATCATCAGAAATGCAATTGCAGTAAATTTACCCTCCAAAAAAGCCTTAAAATCCCATCTTTTGAATGAGTAGAACAAGCTCTTTAACCAAGTGGGAAAAAAAAAAAAAAAAAAGTATCTTGAGGGATAATTAAAACCATATTTTGTCAGAGACGATAGTATGGGCTTAACTGAATTCCCTTAAGTTTTGTTTTTAAACAGATACATCTTGACTTTTATTTCTGTAGTTCTTGGATTTGGGTGAAGGTAAAGCTGTTAACACTGAACTTAGGAGATTTTTGAGAGAAGGAAAATTTTTACAAGAATTTAGGCTCATGCTGTAGAGAAATTGTGTGAAACAGGCCATCTTTAGATCCTGTTACCAAAATCCTTCTTTGTGGAAATATTTTATTCATGGCAAAACAAATTTGACATCCTGAAAAATCTGCAACTGTAAAATGTGAATCATCTGGCCAGAAACTCAATAATGCAGCTTTATGTCTATGTTCAAAATATACATTTGACTGACTTAAACAGATTGTATCTCTTTATGTTTTCCTTACAACTTTGATTTAAGCTGCTTCAAATAGGTACATATTTTAAACACTGATTATAGAAATGTTTCTTCACCTTGTAATTGAAGTGAATATTAAACCAGTGTGAATCGTACAAGGTGGAAGCATAGAAGCTCATTTACAGTTATCAGTGAAGAAACTAGATCTACACATTTCTGATATGAGGAAAACACCTGATGTAATGGGGACAGTGGACAGTTGCCCATTGAAAGTTATTCAAATTGATTGCTTTGGGCTGTAGAGATGAGAAGAGTGAATATAGCTGCCCATAATGTGTGCTTGCATGACACCATCAGGAAACTGATATTGACCAAACAAATGTCTGTTGGTGTGATCTTATGCATATCTGATTTGATCCCAGAACGTTTCATGAAGTAATCCTGAACGTGCCTGACCAGCTCTGGCTGATTACAAGTGAATAGTTGATTATTGTTTACCTGTGGTTGTCTAGCTGACTCAACATAAAGACAAAGAAGGTGGGAAACAAGGTTTTGAGCAGGCAACACTGAGACAATTTTGAAGGATCTAATGTTATTAAGTCACTGTAGAAAATTAGCTTCATTGGAGTGTCTGAAATAGGCCACTTAAAATACAACAAGAAAGTTTATTTTTACTGATAAATCAGCTTATGCTGCTGCTGTATCCAAAATGTAGCTGTGATGATTAGTTTGTTTCAAACATTCAGATTTTATAGTATTATTAGCATTTGAGAGCAAAATATCATATCAGTAAGAAGTGTTATTGTTTCATACAAGTGGAATATGCAGATATTCATTTGATAAGATACTTCTTTCTTTTGGAATAATGTTAAGTAGTGAAAAGAAATAAATAAAAGAACCTAATGGATTTTAAATTACTGAATGCTATAAGAGCAATCTATAGGTAAACATAAAACAGGTATCAGCAAGGTTAATATGAGATGGCTAAAATTGCTGAAAAAAAAATATTCTTCGTAAAAACTGGAAAACAAAACTTTCAAAATACTGCCATGGTGACTTAGCACTTACTGATGAAGTGCTCAAACTTTTATTTCCAGGAGATAGTTCAGTAAAGCGTACTCTTGTATCCCGTGATTTGAGAATATTTTATATGTCTTGTTTGTATATTTAATCTCATGAGTACTTTCACCCAACCTTTGCAATACAGTTCTGGTTCTGAACTTTGTCCATCTAGTGATTTGATCCCCCACAGATCTCCCACATCTAGACGAGGGCTTCCAGAATAGAAGCTGTACTGCAGGCATCTGCTGCTGCACCTTAGAGTGAGTGCTTTTTTCCTGCCAGGAAAATCTGCAGATGAACCTGGCAGCCTGCTCTTATAATTAAGGCCTTGTAACCTTAGAAATCATTCTATTTATGACAGGTTTCATGCTAGCTTTTCTGGTCTATCTGCTGAAATCTTATGATCTACTTCTTAATTTGAAAAAAAAAAAAAAAAAAAAAAAAAACCAACAGTCTTTTAAAGTCACTCCCTTTCTATGGCAAAAGGTTCAAACTCAACTCAATTTTAGAGTGTTTCCTGTTTTTACAGGGATACTTGCAGCTGCTGTTCTCACCCTTGTAGGTTTTGCTGTTTGAAACACTGGAAACATGTACCAAGACGGTGATATAGGTCATGGTTGACTTTTCAATTTGTCATCTTGGCAATCATGGTGATTAATATCCAAAAGTTGGATATTAATATCCAAAAGTTGGATATTAATCAGCCGGGTTCTTACACAAAGTAGTCACTAACTTTCTTTCCAGTCAACATATTTGTTTATTGGATCCTTTTCAGAACTTTATTCATGAAATAAGGGAAAAAAAAACTTTGTGTTTCTTCTATTCAGAAGATTGATGGATATGATGATTTTTGGACAAATAATAATAATAAAGTCTTACATAAAGTCAGAACATACTTTTAGGCAACTAGGAAGTTGTTCTAGAGCCTTCTCTAGAATAAATGAGAAAAAAAATAAGGGCATGCACTGAGAAGAAAATCCTAGAGTCCCAAGTTGTTTGAAATACATCAATGCTCTCTCCTTAAAAGTCTATGGCGTTCTTGAATTTGTTGGTGGAAGGGAGGCTTAGGAGCAAGAAACAAAACTCCTTTTCTCACTCATGTCATGAGGGAAACAGTGCATAAATGTTGTGTGAGAAAGGAGACCGCACACTCTCTGCTTTAGTGCTAGAGACATGCATACCTCACTGCTGAAGATGTGTATGCTTGGCGTGACTAACTCTAGTTACTGGTAAATCATGGGTCTTTTCTGGTTTGGGG